GGGGGGGGGGGGGGGGGGGGGTGGAGGTAATGTTGCTCAAATAATATTGCATACCACTGGTGAATAAACGCCAATCAGTATGTACTCCCAGATATGGCCTCCAAGGAAAGGAGCAAAGAAAGCATAGAACGCCACCACTAGCAAGCAAAAGACAGTAATTGCAACGACCTATATGTAAGCAAAAAACTATTAGAAAGCAGCTCAAAACTGATAATAGGCGGAAGAAAAAAAAAAAGACTTGAAGCTTTTGAAGTACATTCCTGGGTTCAACAGTAGTAACCAATGTCACAAGGGGAAAAATCTAGCAGATAGAGTATATGTATCAACACATGAATTTCTGACCCACATATTTTAGACTTAATGTTGAATTAAACATCAGACTTCTCTATTTTCCTAGGTTGAGGATAAAACTCAGCAGGAACAAAAAAAAAAACTAAATGTTCACAATACATGTTATGCCAAGTAAATACTTTGGTTCACGTCATTGAGCTCATCACAACCCAAGTGAATAGTTAAGTGCTTGGGGATTGAAAGAAGTTGATTTGAAAAACTATTTTCTGTTTTTCATTACAAAAATTTCGTCCACACTGTTCTCTTCGACAGCTTGTTTCTAGAACAGCTTAACGTTCAAATCATAAACAGTAATTTTAACATCCAGAAAAGAATCTTAAGAACAGTTTCTAATCAATTTTTATAAATAACAAGATTAAGAAACCCCTCGTATTTCCTTCCTGCAAGCTACATCCCAGAAAACCAATCCATTTCCAACTTTGAGTAAATGATCCAACATAGATGCCTATCCCTCAGCCAATTCTCCAAGCCCAAAAATGGGAGAAAAATAGACCACGAACGAAAATCCCATCGAGATATCAGAAGCCACAATATCACACAGGACTCGAGAAATTAACTATTCTAAACTTATTAGTCTTGAAAGTAGCCTACCAGACCAAATCCCAGTCTAACTACCCAACGAATCACAGTAGGAAAAACAGAACCAAAAAAAGAAAGTCTCTACATCCACACTCGGAAGAGAGTAAGAGTAAAACAACAGAAAATCAGCAACGAACAAACGCAAAGAAAATCAAATTTACCCACCACAACTCAGCCATTCCCCGAGAGAGAAAGCACACATTGGCAGAACAAAACCCTAAAACAGCCAAACCAAAAAACCCACAACAACAACAAGAAACAAACTGAAGACGATCGCATGGGTGGAATACCTGAAAAGTATGAGCAGGCAGTTGCCATCCATGTTTCCTCACCATAACTCCACAATTAAAACACCACAACGCACACACTGCCGAACAAACCCACTCCCACACTGCCGTCGGCCGGCCGGCGAGCAGAAGAGACAGAAACCAAAATCAAAATAGAGAGAGAGATACAGTTAATGTGAGCTGCAGATGAGAACAAGTTGGTGAAAAGAGATGATCAAAAATGGTAGCGGCGAAGTAGTGAAAAGGAACGGCAGATGGAAGAGAAGGGGGGCCGTCAAGGCAAAGCGTTGACAAAGAATCTGAGGAATAAGAGAACGGGGTTTAAAATAGTTAAATCTGAAATTAATAAATAAATTGATTAATTAATTGGATTTTTAATTTTAATTAAATTATTTAATTACCTTTAGGTCTTTAATTATGTGGTTAATTAATTTAATGCGTGGAGCTGTGAGTTGGAGGTGTTAGGTCTAAACACGATGAGATGAATTCTTTTTGTGGGAAAGGAAGGAAGAGACGTTATTTAATGTTCGCCGTTTTGTGGGTCCCATGCCTATTTTCTTTTTCTTTTATTTTATTAAAATCTTTTAATTTTAGATTTTCATGATTAATAGATTTATAATTTTTTTTTTAAATTTAAGTTATTTAATGTATCCCATATGATAATCCTAATTTTATCTTAAATTTGATTTGAATCTATTATCTTTTAATTTAAAACGTATATCCAATCAGGTGAGTTGTGCTCGTTTTATTTGTTCTAATTTATTTATTTTGTTTAATTATTTAAAATTGAGTAATTGTTTAATGACTAAATCTTTACTAATTTATTCGATAATATATATTTTATGTCAGTTATTTATTATTTTGGACGAGAAAAAATAAATAAATGACCAAAACTTTGACTTGACAAATTAGGACTAAATTAACTAGATAAATAAATTATCTCACCCCATTTTAATCGTAGAAAAAAAAATGTCATATTCTAAAATGTCATCTATTTTGAATTAGATATTTGTTATTTATTATATATTGGACGTGCATCATAATGCATTTGAATTTAATAAAATTTCAAACTAATGCTTAATCAATTATATGTAATAATGATGTAAATTGATTGAATAAGACGCGACAAATTAAATGAGATATCTTAATGAAAGTTGTATTATTAATTTATTAAAGTCTAAATAATATATTTTTTTTTTGTTGTAAGTTTATATATTAACTTTCATAAATTTGTGGACTATAATTAAATAAACTAACAAATTTAGTGATTATATTTAATTTTTTTTTTCCAATTTAAGGAGAGTTTAAATTTATAATTCAAGCTTATATTAATTAGATTAAGACACATATTAAGAAATTAATAATATTTTAAAATATTATGTAATTTTGAAATCTTTCCATCTGTAGTTATTTATTTAATTTCGGTGGCGATCGAGCAGGGCGTTTCTGCACGCGCCGTCTGTCTTAAAAAAATGCCGGCAAAATAATAAATAAATAAATAAAAACGAAAATGGGCAACGCGCCAAGAGGAGGGGTAAAAGTGTCCATTAAAGAAAAACGGAAAACGAACTGAGGGCGAGTGAGAGAAAAGCGAGTGAGGAATCATCCAATCTCAAAGAGAACAAACATCCTCTTCTGGCAGCGGCGAGTGGTTTACAAACCCTAATTTCCCAAAATTTCTCAACTCGTTGCCCCACTCGCGGTGTCAACCCCCACTCGCTCGCCCCTTTGTTTCAGCTTCTTCACTCTCCCAGAGATTCTCCAGGTCCAACTTTTTTTTCTTTTTATTTCCCTCTTCATACCCAATCACCTTCCGCGTTCGCGATCTTCTCTTTCTTTCATTTTTTTTTCTTTTTGATTGTGATTTGCTTGAGATTTTCGCTATGTTGAATCTTGTTGGGTTTGGTGTATTATTATGCTCGTGACTGTGTGTGGTGGAATTGTTGTCTGTAACGGTAGTGTTGATCGTTCTTCGAGAAAGAGCAGGGAGAATGGAGGTCGGTGGTTCCGGTTTTTTTTTTTTTTTTTTTTTTTTTT